GGCAACAACTTGTCTGCAGTAAAAAAGCATATAATTTGTGTTTCAAAAGTGTGTGAAAACCAATCAATTAATTTACATGATCTCGGTTCCGATATTAAAAAATCAATAATTGTTTATACCCGCATTTTGGCACATTGGCTTGAATGTGCCATCTAATAAATAGTGTCGTCGTTCGCCTTGCTTTTAAATGATGTCACAAATTGCTGGCGGAGACATGAATACAGTGTAAGAAAATTCCTTTTCTATAATTGTTTCCTTATAGAAAGGTTGGTTTCTTTTCCACCTTAGACATTCCGAATTCGTTCAAAATATGCTAATTTAAAACACAGAATTCTTTCAGTGTTCCTCCGGGGTTTTTGGACATGGACGGTTTCTACAATTTAATAGTGTTCGCTTTATTTTTGTGAAAACGAAACATGTTTTGCCAGTTCTGGATATTTCTACTCTCTTTTTTCAAATATTTCTCGCATTCCAGCTGTGCGTTGCGTTTAGATTTTCGCATCGTGTTTTTACATATTCGTAATTTAAATTTTTTTAATAAAATCAATTGGTGGTAGTTCTTGATTGTGTGTGGATTAATATCACCACACTGAGGATCTGGGAATAACCTTTGCCATCTATTAAAAAATAACACTTACGGGGCAATGTTTATTGTAAGAACATTTTTTTCTATGAATCGACATACTTTAAGCATTGTTGACGCTATTTCCATTTGAATGAGGAAATAGCGTCAATGACTTTATTTCCAAATTTTTGTTGACTTTATTTCGCACCAGGGTGGGAAATAAAGTCAATTGACCTTATTTCCGTTGATCTTGTTACCTGTCACCGTTTGTTTGTGTGTCTATTGCTGTGTTGTGTTGGGGGGTGGGTGTGTTGGTTCTGTGCTCCACGGGCGGGTGGTGGTTTGCCGTGGAGGCGGTACGGAGGTGACTCCACCCGCCACAGGCATTGCACCTGACCGAGGTGGTTTCCATGCNTGTGTCTATTGCTGTGTTGTGTTGGGGTGTGGGTGTGTTGGTTCTGTGCTCCACGGGCGGGTGGTGGTTTGCCGTGGAGGCGGTACGGAGGTGACTCCACCCGCCACAGGCATTGCACCTGACCGAGGTGGTTTCCATGCAGTCGTCTCTGGCATACGCAAGTGTAAATTTCTGGCTCTGGGTTGGACTCTATGCCAGCCCTGAGCAGAAGGGTACGGAGCAGATGTAGCCCTAGTATCGAACAACGTTTGATGGATTTCGCCGACCTAAACGGGGTTAGATCGCCGAAACAACAGCCTTTGATCGGGTAAAGCCTGAGTCATTCCGGTACTTGATACTTGATAAATTTACAAAATAACACAAAATTCACGTTTTTCATAAAAATATATCATACAATGGATATTTTTTTAATTTTAAACTTACATTTAAGAAAACTCCATTCAGTGCTATAATTACGACTTGGATTTTCCAGTTTATAGAAACACAAGCGTTAATTATGTACTTAATTATTGATATTATTCTAAATTAAGCATTGATATTATACCTACATTTTGTTCATAAATAACAAATAATTATATAAACATGTATCGCCCGGTTGTCGAATTCGACATCTTTTTTTACACACTTTTGAATTTTGCTTGTCACCAATATTGACTCCTTTATGCGAATGACGATTTTGAAGTCCACCACCAAAATTTATGGCGAATTTACAGGAAAATAAATTTCTTCAGTAGCAAGGCGAATCTATACAAGGTGGTGTTATCGGATCCGCTGATTTCACGGCGAATTTGTACCTTTTGTCAAAATCATGTGTTTATTGTAATTTGGCTTTGTACTGATCAAGGAGCGTATAAATTGTTGTTGTAATATTTGTTTTTGTTCTGTTAACATCACCTTGTATAAATTCGCCTTGTTCAGTAGCTTTCGAAATTATACGGAGAAAGGAACCTCAATTTTTATTTATAAAAAATATGCATATGTATTTGTATGTAAAGATGAGATGCCTAACGGTTCCTCACTGACTAATATGTTAAACATATACCAAATCAGACCGTAAATACGTTTTTCGATTATATAGGTCTGAGAGCCCCTCGGAAGGTTAAAAATTAAATTTCCAACATCTACATAAACTCCTCTTTCTTTTCATCAGAATCGGTAGTGGTTAAGAAAGTACCTCGAAGGAGCGAAATAAAATATAATATTTCCTTCTCTAACGGCGGTTTTGCACGGGTTTTTGTCAACACTGGGCCTAAAGCCCTTTTTTTTGCATCACATGAGTGGGCTACCAAGTTACACCAAATTTTATGTTGCTCTTATGTGTTCTAAAGACGAAGCTAATCTGACCATAAATAGGATTTTTCAGGATAGCTACCAATCCCTGCGCCACACCGGCTTTTCCCATATCTACCACTTTTCGCCTAAGTTCGTTATTGATAGCATAAACAGCTGTGTAAAATTTCAGGACGTTAGCATAAGCGGTCCCAGAGTTATCTCTGGGAGGTGCCAATACCTACCACTTCGTCGTAAGAAGGGTATTTACAATTTATGTATCCGTGCTAAGTTTCAGTTCCTCAGCGTAATTGGTTTTAGAAATATATCGGTTTTCAAATTTTTATCTGCATGTCTGATGCCACGCCCCCTATGTAACGCGATTAACATTTCTGGATTAGAGGAAGTTATATCCTTTAAATGAATCATACATTGAAATCGAGCGAACGGTGCCCTCAAAAAAGGGAGTTGAAAATTTTCTTGTGGCGTATTTATGTATATATAGATATAGATTTTATCAAGGCGAATTAATATAAGGTGATAGCAGGAGTACAAAAACAAAAATTTACATGTATTTTGTTTTTGCTTTGGCGGCATAAACTGTCAAAATCTGTAAGAGTGTGTGTAGAAATTCAAACAAAATTTTTCAATTTGATATCAGAAGCCGTGCGGCGAAACACATACACAAAATCAGCTGAGCTAGTAACACCACCTTATATAAATTCGCCTTCGATTTTATCCTCGAAAAGAACTTTTTCTAATCGTGAGGCGAAATTCCCCACAGTAAGTGTTGCCGTGCGCGCAAAACGAAAATGCTGCACACAACCCAAAGGTACTCATCGGGGACCAATTGGTGAAAAACTGAGAAAAGCACACCTATTGCGAGTGTCGACTAGTAGTAGATAAACAACTCTTATCCGATTATCGCCTTTCCATGGTATTTTGGATGTCGTATTCTCGTTCAATAAGCGTCTGTGAATAGTTTTTAATCGCTCATCTTTCTAGAACTGTTTGTTTGTAGAAGGATGAGCGACTATAACTAGAGATGGGCCCGACGGGCCCCTGCGTAAGCCCGCGGGTACGGGCCGGAATATTTGCTGTCAGCACGAACTCGTGCGGGCCTGGGCGTTCAGTAAAATTTCAGAAAAGCACGAAAAGGCACGGAAAAGCTCGTTGCTAATACTAAAAATTTAGATGAGCTTTTGTGTTTATACAAAAAAAAAATAGTACTTATTTAAAACTCTTTTGATAAGAGAAAAGCAAAAAAAAGAAATATTTGGAAACCTATAGAAAATATATGATACTTAGTAGTTTTGTTTACATACATATCTGTACATAAAATACCTTCCACTTTTTCTACTTCCCAGAAAATATATTATAAAAATCTTTGATGTAAAATATTGATTCGCTTAAATATACGTATGAACATAAACACAAAATTAAAAATATGTACATAAGTATACATACAATAAAAGTTGGCTTTTATTTCCGGGCTGGGGCGTGTCCCGTCGTGCCGGGCCGGGCCGGGCCGGGCCCCACTAAAATTCTTAACGTGCGGGCATGTGCGTGTTTTTGTAAGTTGATTTTGCACTCGTGCCGGGCCGGGCCTGAAAATTTAGGCCCGTGCCCATCTCTACTATAAACTATTCTCACTCACTTATTGAACGAGAAAGCGACTTTGAAAATACCACGGCTAATCGAAAATCGACTAATGGTTGTTTATCTACTACTAGTCGACACTCGCAATAGGGGTGAAGGTTTATTACTATATATACTGTGGGCCTGTGTTATCAACCTATTAAGTTTCTTACTGGTTTCGAAGACTTAAGACCTTGCGAATGGTATATATATACATATCGCTAATTTACTTCAAAACTGCTATAACTCAAAACAACAAAAACTCGTGAAAAACAGCTTTGAAGTTTTCAATTTACATCGATACCTGAGTGGAAGATCGACCTATCTCGGGAGCCAGTCCGAAAACGCCATCTCAAAAAACTTTTCAAGAACGCCCTATTTCAGAATTTCATTGAATAACTATCTCAGAATTTGGTTGAAGAACGCCCTTTCCCAGTCGCCGATTCAAAATCTCAGCACATTTCCAATGTATTTTCAGCTGAGATAGGGCGTTTTTGAACCGAATTCTGAGACAGGGCCTTCTTCAACCAAATTCTGAGATTGGGTGTTTTTCAATAAAATTCGGAAATAGGACGTTCTTGAAAAGTTTTCTGAGATAGGGCGTTTGCGAAATGGCTGCCGAGATAGGTCGATCTTCCACTCAGGTGACAATATACTCCCATAGTAAAAATGAATACGTATTTTGTCCTAGTGAGCTACTGGCTATCGGCAATTTTTACATAACTTAGAAGAACATGTAGCGGTCGTTATTGCATACTTAACTCGGTTTTGTATTATTTTTACTTGGAATACTCAAAAGATCTGTGTGTAAGTGCCCAGCAAACGCAATTTTTGTTTACTTTTTTAACTTTGGCTATGCTTTTATGCACTATTTTATAAAACAAAGGACATATTAGTCCTGAATTGATTCAAAAAAAGAACGTTTAATAACGAGTAGAACGAATGTTTTTTTTTAGTCTGTTGAAAATTGGCTGAGTTCTTCACGTATAGCGAATTTGTATGCTTTTACAAAAACAACCAATTGCTTGCGTAACTTAGCGTACGAACTTATTCATTTTTAGCCCGCTAAGTAAAATCACCCTAACACATCCCCAAGGTGAACACAATTTTGAAGATTTTTTAAGTGTGTTTATTGTATGATTTTACCATATACGATGTATATGTGTTTATAAATTTTAATTCTATTCAGTTTTTATAACAATTCTGTTCGAAGTAAGAAATACTTTAAATAAATATCTTTCTATCGTAAAGTACAATGTAAATTCATTTTTATTACCAAAAGGTAATAATCACATTGAGTGGAGAATGAACACAAGAATTCTATTCTTTGAATTTTCATACCTTTATAACGAGGTAAGTCTTAAGAACTTTAATAAAAAATAATTAATGTATCCACCTGGATATAAGGTATAATGCTAATCTCAACATTTAATTAAAGGAATTACTTATGTAAACAACGAATTCAGTCACATTGGTACATCTATCGGCAAATTTGTCCATTCTTTATTAACTCCAATAATTGCATTAAAATTGGAGAGGACTGAACGAGACCTACATCCTTAGGATCCAAATTTACTAGACATCTAAAGAATAGCGACGTCATCCGTTGATCGTTTGCGCGCAAAACTGTGGATGCCATCTGATGCAGTACATTTAGTCGAAAGTGATATGAAGAAATATCGCTAAATTTTTCAATATAGTCACAAAACATAGTCCAATCAGCTTCTAAAATTATGTCCAGTAACGCGTCTATAGTGGGTCTTGATCTGTCGCGACTGTAGCTTAAGATCTGCCGGCACGCATTAACTTTGTTTAAACCACAGTACTGCAGGCTGTGAAAGATCGTTATCAAAAGCTCTCCTCCCCCTTTGTATCGTTCACAATCACGCACCAGGTGCAATAATTTCAAACGATTGTTTCGCTCAAAATATACCCTGCAGAATTCGTGCATATATTGGCGAAAAACTAGTTCATTATTATAAGCAAATCTATATGCTAAGTTTAAATCTACCTCTGAGAAGGTAATCAATATATTTCGGACTGTTTCGGGCTCCCGAAATGTGTGCGAAAATTTACAGGATGCCAGCGTAAAACATCTTCCTACCAGGAAAGGTAAGCACGTAACACCAAATGTTTTAGCGACAACGACTGTGGGCGGACCAAAATTTCTACCATCGCCACCATTACCACCGAATTCCCCGCGGTTAAATGTAACTTGCTGCGTATTGAGTGCTTTAAAATCTCTCGAGTTTTCTGCAATAAGAGACGGGGCCAACTGCAGTATATCCCGAATAATAGGTGGGACTGTGTTAAGCGCATTATGCGGAATAGCTACAGTGCCACTAGCATGAGTCGGTGGTTGAAGAGTTAATGGTGTTACCGCACACACATTTTGCACAGTGCGAGTTATATTTTCAAAGTTCACGGTTTTCATGGAATCTGGTTCCGTTTTGACCGCCTGCCTGTTGAATGCATTTGGTGGGAGTATAACCATAGGTAAAGGTGCTGCCGCTGTAACTGCAGGGTTGCTATGCTTCGTCGTTGCTGTTGTCAAAGATATTTTTGGTATTTTAAACTTCTTGAAAATATCAATTGATACATCAGTAGCCTTATGAGTGGTTTCTAGTTTGATGATCTTACTCTTATCGTCCAACTTTTCATGATTTTCAATATTAAACGTTTTTGTATCATCTTTTTCATTAGTTTTATTTTCCAAAGTCTCAACATAATTTGTGTGATGATCCGAAAAATTCTCTTCAACCACATTTAACACTTTTGTATCCATTTCTCTGTTATTTTTATTTGGTGAAGTCTCAACACAATTATTATCAAGTTCCGTAAAACGCTCATCATCCGAGGAACTGAAAAAAGATTAACATCGTTAGTAAATATACATACATACATATTTGTGAACATAGGCTGACTTCCAAAACGTATCTATACAATGTTTGAAAACTGTTATACTGCGGTATTCAAACTGTTTGTATATGCAGAGTTGCGACACATTGCAACCAAACCATATACATTGCATATTTTAAATATGGAATATAGCAATGTACAATCTTTCCGAATTTTCCATTTTCAAAAACACCAATGGTAACCAATAACAAACGAAGCATCAACTTTGTTTCTGATGCGCTGATTGCTCTAGCCATGCATTTCGATAACTTTTCGGATGCGTTTTGGAAAAGTTTACATTGTCAACATTTTGTAGTTCGGCGTTATGGAACATTATACTTTGTACGTATGCAAAGCAATTGACGTCTTGGAAGTCAGCCAGACAATGACATACGTACTTAAAACATGATGTTGCTAGGGACATCGCGTCATCTTCCAAGTCGTCGCCAAAATCAAGACAGGCATCATCTAGCTTCGACTCTATCTCCAAAACAGACAAACTTGAAAGAGAATCAGGTTTACACGTTTTCACGACATCCGGTACGTTATTATCCAACGCTTTATCTGGTTCTATAGGGATTTGCTGTGCCGACTCCTGGTAAGAAACTTCTTTTTCGCCGTATTGAAGATCTTCTAAATAAATTTCCTTATCGGACGGTAGGTCTTGCTTGCCGTTTAGCTCAAAATTGTTTTTCCGCTCGGATGTTCCTATAAACAAAATCCATTTCTTTAAAATTGTCATTATGTACACAGGTAAAAATCTCTACTCAGTATTTTATGAAATTTTCATGTGTAAATATGCAACCCATATTTTTGTGCATATGAATTTGTATAAAAAGAACGAACTCCTACAGAATCTACAATCATAGCCTTAATTGTCTTCTGTAGAGACATTTCAAACATCTACGCGATAAAAAAAAATCTTCGATTCGGCATCCATCGATGANTTATCCAACGCTTTATCTGGTTCTATAGGGATTTGCTGTGCCGACTCCTGGTAAGAAACTTCTTTTTCGCCGTATTGAAGATCTTCTAAATAAATTTCCTTATCGGACGGTAGGTCTTGCTTGCCGTTTAGCTCAAAATTGTTTTTCTGCTCGGATGTTCCTATAAACAAAATCCATTTCTTTAAAATTGTCATTATGTACTCAGAATTTTATGAAATTTTCATGTGTAAATATGCAACCCATATTTTTGTGCATATGAATTTGTATAAAAAGAGCGAACTCCTACAGAATCTACAATCATAGCCTTAATTGTCTTCTGTAGAGACATTTCAAACATCTACGCGATAAAAAAAAATCTTCGATTCGGCATCCATCGATGAAAAGCGAAAGTAATGAAAGAACCAAGTTCAGAACGACCTAATAATTGGAAGAACATCGCAAAGGCGTGCAAATAGCTAACTTTCCTTAATTTTTCTACAACGAAACAAGTTTTATAGTGCAAAACAGGACAGAATTACAAAATTTATTAGATAATGCTTTTGCTGTATGTATTTACAGTCTCAATTACTAAATTAATATTAAAATATTCAAGGCTATCACTGAATTTTTCGTAGTCTACTTTTCCGTGAAACCGACGAAAATGTTATTACTGAAGTCATGAGATCATGGCTGACTGTCTCAGTGTCACGACCTCAATCACATTGAAAATCATTGAGCAAATGTTGAGGGAGCCGTATGTAAACAGAATCCTTTAAATGTTAAGGAATTGTCATACTTGTCAAATTGGATTTGAAGACAAACCGGGTTCAGCGTTGAGCCGTCTTCAGTGTCCTTCCCCTTTTATATCGCGTTTTTTCTACAAAAAATTTTGCCTTTTCATTGCCCGATCCTTATGCCGAATTTCCACTAGGCATTTAAATGACAAAAAATGTGTGTCATTTAAAAAATGCCATGTAGAAGTGAACTTAATGACTATTTTTTTTTAAGTAATGACACCATTATTGTTTAATGCACAACTTTGTCATTAAAATTGTTTGCCATTTAATGCCTTGTGGAAATTCAGCATTAGTATGTATTTGTGCGTAGAGGGCACTGCGAAGGCAACATTTTTCAGCAGAAAAGAAAACGCCATTACGTGTTCATAACGGCACCCTGAAATTGTTCATATAGAAACTGTGCATACGAAATAATGCATAGGCACACTTTCGGTTTAAAAGGAATATGTGTATACTAAGGGTGCCAATGCCGGGATCCCGGTGTTTCTGAGGTCCCGAAAATCCCGGGATTTACTTGTATTAATCCCGGGATACCGAAAAATTTAAAACATCGAATTGATAGTAAGAATGAATTTGAAGTATGATTTTTGTAAAATGCCGTTTTGACTACAATTAACAAAAATATTGAAACTTAAATGATGCACTTATAGCATCAATCTTCTCAAACTTCCTAAAATCGAAAAACTTATAATTTTTCTGACGTGCTGGTAAAAGAAGTTCAAATATTTAGTAATGGAGGAGATATANTGCCGTTTTGACTACAATTAACAAAAATATTGAAACTTAAATGATGCACTCATAGCATCGCTAATATTAACGAAACAAAGTTTTAAGGAAAAGTTACACAATTTTTAAATCAATCTTCTCAAACTTCCTCAAATCGAAAAACTTATAATTTTTCTGACGTGCTGGTAAAAGAAGTTCAAATATTTAGTAATGGAGGAGATAGGGATCATTATCTTCAAATGGCTTATGACATCCTTTTGACTGTTGAGTCTAAAAATGTTGAGGCCGAAATATGTTTTTCATCAGCCAGTTTTGTGTGTAACAACTTCAGGTCAAAATTATAAGACTCCGCTTTGAATGCTTTGCTGCAATAACAACACCGGCACGAAAAAAGATGTGTGCTTTTAACCAGACCCACCTACCAACATGTATTTCGACCCGCAGAATCTGGTTCTGAGGTGCGTTTGACTTGTACACCCTAACAAAATTTCGAGTAAATTGGGAAAAAATGGCAAAAAAATCGCCATTCAACATTTCTTTATGGAGTAGAATAAACATATTTAGATAATTTGTTTTTGTACATTTTTGTTTTTTTTTTTTAATCATTACTTTCAAAAGTACCTGGTATTTACATTTTTATTTGTGATGTATGCGTTCCTCAATCACATTGTTACTTAAAAAATATCCCGAAATCCCGGGATCACAATTTTCCGCATATTTTGGCATCCCTGGTGTATACATATAAAAAAAAAAGGCACACCAAAATGATGCGTATGTGCACAGTTTCGGTTGACCACCCGAAATAATTAATATGAGAAAAACCGAAATGAATTGGTTAATTACTAAAGAAAATAAGTCAGCATTTTTTTCAATATGGTAATATTGATGCAGTTCGGTTCGTTCAACAACTGCATCAAATTTGCCATATCGGAAAGATGCTGACTTATTCCTTTTGGTAATTAATAATAATAAGAATAATAATAATAATAGATTGACGCTTACACAATATGTTAGTGTTTGGCCGGGCTTTTTCTCCGATTTGTGGCGTGCACCTTGATGTTGTCACACAAACGGGAGGGACCTACAGCTTTACGCCGACTCCGAACGGCGATTGTATTTTTTTTGAGAAGCAGATTTTCATGGCAGAGATACACTCTGAGGTTTGGCATTGCCTGGCGAGGGCGACCACTATTAAAAAAACTCTTTGTTTCTTTTTAATGGTGGTGCGAAACTAGACTTTAGCCCAGGCCTTGCGGAATGGTAACTGCTAACCATTGCAACACAGCGACAGCCAACCAAACCAAATAATGCAAACATAAAAAATCATGGAATTGAACAAAATAAAAGACGATCAGTTCACACAATCTTTGCGCTAAAAAGAAATAGCCCCACACTATTTACCACCTGGACGAAGGAGGTCAGACTACAACTGGGAATTCACGTCGATGACGAACCAATTCCGATGGTGAACAACCCGAAGATCTTCGGAGTAACCTTCGACAGTCTGCTCTCCTTCTCGGCGCATACAACCGCAATTGTCAACAAAGTACAAAGCCGCAACAATGTCCTCAATTCGCCGGCCGGTTCTGACATATGCAGCGCCCGTGTGGTCACCGGGGACTAGTAGGACGCAGTGGATGAAGCTGCAGACTTGCCAAAATACGGCACTCAGGACAGCGACAGGATGCCTTCGGATGTCGCCGCAACATCACCTGCACGACAAGGCCTATATACTCTCCGTTAAGGAGCATAACACAATGCTCTGCAAGCAGTTTCTAGTTGGGAGCCACAGACGTGCTCACCCAAACAGACAACTGCTTGCAGAAGAGCCCTCACCCAGGCACGTTAGGAGGCATCTTTACGAACTGACGGACGAAGTCCAGAGGCTCATCAAACAACCTCTGGACCCGACAGCTTATCGACAGGCCTTGAACGGAATTCATAGCGAGGCAGTCTCCAGTTATGTGGACTCTCGACCTGTGAATGCCGTTCTGGGCATACAACCACCAGACGTGGACGAGAAAAAACTTCGTCTGCCACGGGAGACTCCGACCACAATAGCCTAACTGCGCTCTGGTTACTGTGGCAGGTTGAACTCATTCCTGAGCAGAATAAACGAAGATGTTCTAAACGAATGCGGAGAGACGCCCCATGACTCACAGCATCTCTTCGCATGCCGTTGTTTCTTTGCTATTTTCACTGAACATTTCCCAAAATATTAGAAAAAATTCTGAACAAGCTACATTGATTCAATTTTCGTTGTTCGTTTTGTTCTTATTCGCTGACATTTGTTTTCCAATTGCGTGAAATTTGGTAAGTATTGTAATAAAACCGAATTATTTTACAAATAAGTTATAATTTTGCATTTATTAGGTAATTTCCTTAGTGTTTCGCTGACCGACCTGTGCTGGTATTGTGATTAAGGGCTAATACACGTAAGTTACAACATATTATTTTGACTTTATTGATGAACCATTCCATTTGAGCTCTTTGTTATTTCAAAACCTAATGAACCATTTATTCGCAGATTTTTCGGACGATTCTGCTGTGCTGCGTTCCTGCTCCGCCTGTATATTGCTCCGCCCGTATTTTATAGTGTTGCGTTCCTGTTGCGCCTTTGCATTAGTGTGTGCGTTGTGATTTAGACACGTTGAAGTAAGTTGAAACCAGGTTCTCGTTTGTTAAAAACCTAAAAAACCATTTATTTGCAGATTTTTTGTATGCTTCTGCTGTGCTGCGTTCCTGCTCCACCCGTGTATTAGATTGCTGCGTTCCTGTTAACATACATATCGTCGCTTAAAGTACAAAACCGCGTAACTGACATTTGCTGCTAAAAATTGGATTCGCTCACACACGTTTTTGGATCAATCCTTATCCATTCTTCCTGAAATATACTAGCCAAAAATGCGATTGCTTTTTACAAAAAGATAACCATTTTGAAATATGAGTGTTTTTACTCTCTAGAAATTAATTTATGCAACCTCGCATACGTGGGTTTGCATTATCTCTATACGCGATTTTGCAATTTATTGATACATGGTTTTGTACTTTAAACGACGATATGTATGTAGATCTATGTACATGTATATCACATATATTGACATAGATATGTATACACAATTAATGGTGCACATAAATTTTTTTATATTGAAACTAGATATGTATATAGTACATATTTTATTATTATTAGTCGGTTCAAAAAAGTCCTATCTCAAATAAAAATACTTCGAAAATGTGCTGAGATAGGGTGTTTTTGAACCGAGTTCCGAGATAGGGCATTTTTCAATCAAATTCTAAAATAGGGCGTTTTTCAGCCAAATTTTGAAATAGGGCGTTGAAAAGCTTTCTGATATCGGGCGTTTTCGACCTGGCTGCCGAGATAGGTCGATCTTCTACTCAGCCATCGATATATGGTCGAAGTTTTCTTTATATAGAAGACGATTAAACACGATTTGTTTTTAATCGATTCTAAAAAAACTAAGGTAATTTTTAGCCACTTCAAACTTGCATATAATTAGACTAAAATTGAAGGGGCTATAAAACTGAGTGCTCAAAAAAATTCTAACACTTCTGAGAAAAAAGTTTGAATTTTGATTGAAAATTTGTTGTATTTTTTGTAGTTTTCTACGAAGTTTTAAAATTCGGTTTATATGAGTTT